GCCGAGCCACCCATGGGTGGCTCGGCCCAGTGCCGGCCACCCATGGGTGGCCGACCCGGATCTGTGCGCGGGCACAGTTCAGAGAGCCTATAAATAGGCTCCCCTTTGTTCATTTGAAAAGGTTGGAACTTTGAGAGCCGAAACTCTGCCGAATTGAAGATTGAGCTCAGAGTTTTGAAGACTTGAGGACTTGAAGATTCAGATCTGATTCTCGGCGAGCGTCCACGTCACAAAAGGCAGGAGTTCGAGAGAGGTAAAGATCAGATCTGAGATCTACACGAGATCACACTCTGGATCAAAGCTTGGCCTTTGATCCCGAGAATTAAAGGCTACTATTTCCTTGGCGAAATAGTACCCTCGGCTATTATTTCCTTGGCGAAATAATACCCGTCGAATCGTGTAGATCCGACCGGATCTAGATCGCGCGGTGTTGAGCTTGGAGTTTTGAAGACTTGAGGACTTGAAGATTCAGATCTGATTCTCGGCGAGCGTCCACGTCACAAAAGGCAGGAGTTCGAGAGAGGTAAAGATCAGATCTGAGATCTACACGAGATCACACTCCGGATCAAAGCTTGGCCTTTGATCCCGAGAATTAAGGGCGATTATTTCCTTGGTGAACTAATCTCCCCCGGCTATTATTTCCTTCGCGAAATAATACCTGTCGAATCATGTAGATCCGACCGGATCTAGATCGCGCGGTGGTCCACGGATTAACCCCGGCGTTGGCAAAGAACCCACACAAGCAAGAGACCGCAAAACAGGATCTTGCGATTTGTTCTAAAGGAAAGTTGTAAAAGGAAAGTTGTAATTTTTTCTTTTTCTTTGAATTTCGTTGTAACCGGATCTAAAAAAGACCGGATCTTTTGTAACCGAAAAACAGTTATTTAAGATGGCAATGAATTCAATGAAGGCAATTTTCACCGCGAACATAGAGTTTAGAAAACTTCTCAATAGAAGACAAGATGGAGAGATGAAGATTGGAGCCCAAACAAGAAGATGATCTCCTCCACTTGTGAAAACAATCTTCAAGCCAAATAAACACTAAAACCACACTTAAACCCTTGTTTAAAAACTTGTTTAAAACATTCTTGGATGGTTCTAAGTGTTGAGGGATGATGGGTATTTATAAGAACTCAAGACAACAACCCAAAGCCAAAGAAAAGCCCAAAAAATAAGGCAAATCCCCAAAAAATCGGAATCAGGAAAAATAGAGCCGTTGGGCAACGGTAACTAACAGAGAGTTTTGCGGTCGACCGTGGCGGTCGACCGCTGGTACTGTAGCAGTGCGTATCAGTTTTGTAAAATCAATTAAAAATAGTAAAACAGTTCTAAAAATTATTAAATTTTGTGGGAAGGTTCTAAACATATAGAATAACATGTTAAATAAAGAATTTCTGAAAAATAATTTCCCAGTTGAGAGAAATAAATGTTTGAACAAAGATTTATAGTTTCTGAAAAAGTGCAGACATACACGATTTTGTAAAATCAATTGGGCACAGTAAATCAACTCCAAAAATAGTAAAATTTTGAGGGAAGTTTCTAAACATGTAGATAAACATGTCAAAGAAAGAATTTCTTGAATATCACTTTCCATTTATGAAAACTCATCAGTTTTGTAAAACATGCACGAACATGCACGAACGAAAAACATGATTTTGTAAATTCCATTAAACATAACAAATCAATTCCAAACTTGATAAAACTTTGCGAAATGTTTATAAACATGAAAACAAACATGTTAGAAAAAGAATTTCTCAAATTGAATTTCCATTTGTGAAAACTCATGTATTTTGCAAGTATGTCCAAAACATGAAAACCCAAAACCATGCATGTATATATATAACTATATATATACATAGAAACCAAATACGTGTGTGTATATGATATTGAGCTTAAGGTACTTAACACACATAATATAAAACCTAAACTAGATTACCCAAGTCGATCTTTATCTTCAATAAGCTTGACTTGGTACACTTTACGGATGAAGCTTAAACTTGATCTTTAACTTGAATTGTATGTTGCTTCACTCCACAATTCTGCCAACCTCCATTTGATATCGTCGTTGAAGCGCTATTCCATCCATCCTCCAACTCGTTGTTTGCCTAGAAAAAAATACGAAAACATAAACACTAGACAAACAACATTAAAAGTAAATTATTTGTTAAACATCATCAAAACAAGAAGGCCAACAATCTCCCTCTTTTTGATGATGGCAAACAATTTATAAAAAGGATATATGCATGAAAGGAAATGAATATACAAAGTATAATATATCATGCATATAAGCAAGAAATGATATACTCGTAATATTTCTCCCCTTTTGACAACATCAAAAAGGGGACAAAAGAATTAAGAGAGCGAAAGCTCCCCCTACCAATAAGCATGGGTGAGTATAACACATAGAAAGATATAGGGATTGCTCATCCTATCAAAATACCATATAGAATATATGAAATGAAGATCATGGCAAACATATGTGAGCAAGCATAGATGGAAAGTATGCTAAACACAACTCACATACATAAAGACAAATGAGAACATATATAAATATATCAAAGTGAAAAAAAGATAGTGTCTCATATCAACGAAAACATAAAGATCAAAAATAGATTTATGAAATCAAAAGAACAGAAACATGAAAATCATGTAAAAGGTTTTCAAATGAAGACATATCAACCAATGAAATCATAAATCACAAGTAAATCATATAAGAACATAAAACCAAATCATTATTGATTTTAAAAAAAAATCAAGAGAGGCAACCATATCTAGCTCTTGAGCTAATAATAACCCATATAAACATTCTAGCATCCGGTAAACATGATTTGGGAATAAACATCCAATAAATCCGGAGGGTTATATAAGTACAAACCTCTCATCAAAATAAAACAAA